CACTTTTCACTGTAGTAGGAAAACTCGTGAGCACTAGAGTCAAATGTCTCAGATTCAACTCGTTCTTCCTCTGCAAGGGCAGCACCAAGCATTGGCTGCTGAACATCAATGGGCTTCTGGGTCTCTCGTCTGGAAAGAGGGCCAAGGATGTCACCTACGGAGCTCCTGCAGTCACTGCAGGGACTATATGCACACGTGAGTGAAACAGAGGTCACCGTGTCTGCCACACAGCTACCGCCCAAAAGATCTTAGCTATTATTTTCCCCTTTTCTGTTGAGCTCGTTGTCTTGTATTTTTCCCTCAAATTAGTTTCCCAGGGAATCTGGCAGACATGAAAATCAGTTTGGTGTAGTGAACTGAGTTGTGGTTCCCAAAGGACACTTCTATGAAGCACCTGAGAATGTGGCCTCATTGGCATAAGGGTCTTTGCTGATACAATTATTTAAGTCAAGGCCCTAGAAATACATTTGTCCTGGATTAGAGTGGCCCCTAAGCCCAATGTTCTTAAAAGAAACAGGACAAAGGACTGAGATACACAGGGAAGATGGCCATAATGATGGATCCAGAAACTAAAGTCATGCAGCCACCAACCCAGGAATACCAGGACCACAAGAAACTGTCCAGGCCAGGGAAGGATGCTCCCTAGAGGGTTGAAGGGGAGAATAGCCCCGTAGACCCATGCACTTTGGACTCCTGGCCTTCAGAACTGCAAGAGAATGGATGTCTGTTGGGGTGAGCTCCCCAGTCTGCGTGATCACCTGTTGTGGCAGCCCTGGGAAGCTCACACGGCTGAGGACAGATGACTCTGGCACAACCTGGATTTAGTGAGGGAAACAAGCTGAACTAGGAAGGGGTGATTATCATGTGTTCTTTTCTTAAAGTGAATAATACTGCAGAGAAAGTCTCCGTAGGAGGCGATGATGGCAGACCTTGGGATCAGAATATTCAGGCCAGTTGGACTTAGCTGTCTCAGCCAGAAGCATTTCTGTTGGGGATTTTGAAAATAGTCTGCATTTTCCCACAAGAAACGAAGTGGAAGCATTTAGCTTGCCAGGACACTCTGGGCAAAGTCAGCTGGGACCCAGCCTGGATGAAAGGACAGCCACTGTGGTACTCAGTACTTGTCCTGTAAACACTCACAAACATCCTATCTCTTTCCTGAGCCCCTCTGTGGAGACTGAAGGAGAATTTGTCAAAGACTAAGTGACAGAAAGATACCTAGCTGTCAGGAGACCACCATAATTATATATTTCTCTTAACTCTACTGGTCCTTCAATTATATCTATTAACAGATTTCCTTTTAAGGGAAAAAACGCACACAGGTTATCTGCAAGATCCTGCCTAGCCTCTGACGTTTGTGAATGACAGAGTCCTTAGGAAAGAGTCATGAAGGAGTTGAATGCACTGATATTCAGAGAAATGATTTCTACTATTTTCCTCTCTTGTAAATATTGGAGAAAAATAGCAGCAGCCAGTGCCGCTGCAGCCAGAAAGGGTGACTTTTTTGGAGCAAAGGCGTTAGAAAAGATGACACATGCTGTCAAGTTCAGCAAATAGCAAATGCTGTGCCAATCAGCAGATAATTTCTGTGTGTTTGCAGCACAGGGAAGCTTTCAAGTTCCACAGTATTTCAAAGACAGGTCACGAGTGCGGTGTGTGTCATCTTCCAACGTGAAGGTCAAGAGAAAGGAGAAGGCAAGCAGGGGCAGAGAGGGGAGAGCGAGGAGCTGCAGGAGGAGCAGGCCACAGCCAGGCAAGTCCTGCTCCTGTCTTCTTGCAGTGCCAGGGAACCTGTGTCATGGCCACTTTTGTTGACATCAGAAGCCCTTACCTCACAGATGACCAGCACTTCATTAACTCTCAGGTCCTCTATGATTTATGAAAGCCACTTCTTCCCTGGCCCTGTTAAGATTTTCTTTTCTTTCCATACTTGGTGGTCTGTATATCTGCACTAAGCAAAGGGCTCCAGGGAAGCAGCCAGTGAGGAAATTCAGAGGAGGAAGCCACAGTCCTCTGGCTCCCAGAGTGGCCCGAAAGGGACTTCACCACTCAAATAGAAAAGACACAATTCTGAAGCCAAGCAACTTAAAAGATCTTTGACACTGTCATTTGCTTTTCTCTATTAGGAAAAGAGAGAGGGAGAGAGATAGGAAGACACAGAATGATCCCTATGAAACATGAAAGTAAGTAAGTTAAGTGGCTTTTTTTAAATGTGCAAATGCTTAGTTTACTCATTCTCCATCAAAAGCTGCTCTGAGAAAAAGGATTTTTTTGCTCCCCAAAATTAAAGTAGGATATACACTCACACCTAAGCACACACATTTGTGTACACACGTACTTGGATAACCCAAACTGCAATTCAAAATGACAGTATAATTTTAAGTAAATAACTTAGAAAACAGAAACCCAATATATCTTCCTCTGGTTTCAGGGAAGAAGAAAGAAATTATACAGCACATGCAGATATATGGGAGAAAAGAACCGAAAACCTTTCTCCTTCCTGTCCATGAAGGTCAGGCCAGCCCAGTAGGGTTGTGACAGTGGCATATGTTGAGCACACACAATCACACTGAGAATCTGCTGGCCCATTACTGCTGACAGCCCCTTGTTCCATCTGATCATCACTCACACAAGGACAGAGAAGTGCTCACATTGGGGCCGGGGAGTTGGCTCAGCAGAGTAAGCACTTCCCTGGCAAGCTCAAGGGCCTGAATTCAATCCCCAGTTCTGCAAGAGAGAGAGAGAGAGAGAGAGAGAGAGAGAGAGGTTGTCACAGGATGAGAGGCTCACAGGAGGCAGCCTCAGCCTAAGTGGGTTTAAAGATACTACAAATTAGCTCAGCGGATTAAAGCACCTGCTTAGGCAGACCCAGCAACTGGGGTTCAATCCCAGCCTGCAGTGCCGCCCGCTTCCAGGTGCGCTGAGACCATTGAGAATGGGAGGGGTGGCGTGTGCCTGTAATCCCAGCCCTTGGGAAGCTGAAAACAGGTAGATTGCTACGAATCCGATCTGTGTAGTGAGACCCTGTAGACCCTATACAAATTACAAAAATATA